GAGAGACTCTGGGCTTGGCATGGGCTTTTGAACCCTCAAAGTCCACCCTCAGTGACATACTTCCTCCAATACAGCCACACCTCCTAATCCTGTCAAATAGTGCCTCTTTCCAGTGATGAAGCATTCAAATATATGAACCTGTAGGGGCCATTCTCACTCAAACCACCACACCTGCCTACACCTAGCGCTGTCAGGAACCTGTTGGCTAATCACAGTACACCTCTGTGATCTTGGAAGCGTAATCAATGCTATTGGTGGTGACACTGTCAATCTGATGCTTGTGTGAGCATTCTCGCCCTCCTGGGTTTCTGATCCTTAATGACTGCTTCGGCCCATTTTCAGCTGCAGGATGCTGAGCGGAAAATGGGACAGAAGAAGGAAAAGAAATGCCACTTGGTGATATGGGCTAGAATTTGATGTGGCACATGTGTTTGAGCTAAGTGAAGGGTTGCAACCACATTTCCAGCTGCAAAAGTAAACAGAGCTCAAAATAGGTAACCAGGCTGTGTGGAGGTCTTGTTGCTTTATTTCTCTGCTCTGGAGTGTCACCAACTAAATATAGTTCATTAACGATGAGGATACCTTCTGAGAAGCATGTCGGTAGATAATTTATTATGTGCACGTGACAGAGTGCTACCAGTGTAGATGCTATAGCCTCCCTTTATACCTAAGCTGTATGTTGTAGCCGATCCTGCTAGATAATAAACCTATGAACAATGTTCCTGTACCGCTCCCATGACTACTGTAATGCCACAGTCTGTCTATCTGCACATAGGAAAGGTGTGGTAAAATGCTAGGTGGTGGGGATTTTTTTTTTCCATTGTAATCTTTTTTTCCACTGTAATCTTAGAGAAACTACTATATGCAATTTGTCCTTAACCAGCATATTGCTATGTAGCTCATGACTATATCAGCCTCAGCAATTAAAGTATAATAAGAAATGCTCAGAAAGCGCTCGCCTAGGCTTTCCCTCTTAGATGTCCTCAAATTTTATTCCTAGCAAATTCTTTGTAACCTGAAAATCTAATGGGAAGCACCATCAGTGGGAAAATTGTACCATAATGATGTGGCCATGTTCAAGCCTTTTTTTCATACAGACTCATTTTAATTCTCCCAGTGATGCTCGTCTCAAAAGAGGAGCTGAGAAGTGTTCTCATTGCTGTAGGGTTTTGTGCTGTTGGTACTGTTTTTTTTGTTTTGTTTTTTTTCTTAAATGTTTAGTGTTCACTAGTGAGGATGTGTGGGCCTTCAGCTCTCATTGTAGGAAAGCTGTTTGTTTTTTATTGTGGGAAAATATACCTAAAAGAAGACTTACCATTTTAATCCTTCTTAAGAGTGTGGTTTACAGGCATTAGGCATTCATGTTGTGCAAGTATTACCAGCACCCATCTCTAGGACTTTTCGTCTTCCCAATGGAAACTGCACTGGTTTCTCAGTCGACCTTGTTCTGTTCTTGTTTTTTGTATGTATTTGTCTGTTGGGGACGTGGGTTTTGTTTTACTTTGCTTTTTGAGACAGAGTTTCACCAGGCTTTCCATAAACCTTTGCTACTCTTACATCAGCCTCCCAAATGCTGGGATTCTAGGCATGTGCCACCATATCTGACTAGCTTCCTTTGAAAATTGTGTATCTTTAAGGTGTGCAGTAAGACATTTTCATATCGCTGCACATATGTAGTGAAATCTCCGTTACCCTTTGTGTGAGTGTGTGTATGTATGTGTGAACATGTACTTTTTAAAATTGAATTTTAGGTTAGCATAGAAAGTATTGAATTTCATCATGTCATCTCCATACATGGAAAGAACACATGCTTTTAAAAATCCATGTTGTGCATTAGCTCTCTAGATTTGCTCCTCCTCCATACAACTGAACGTTCACCCTGACATCACGTCGTTTTCCATTTTCTGACCCGTGCCCATTAGACATTTGAGCTCCCTGGCCTCCCCTCTGCAAGCACTACTCTGCTCCATCACTGTGGGTCTGCCTGCTCTAGGAACCTTCTCTAGGAGGCACAGTGTGCTTTGTGACTGTCCTGTTTCCCTTAATTGTCTTTAGGATCCGACCGTAGTGTAGCCCCGGTCAAAATACAGTGTGGGTGTTTCTTATTCTCCTTCAGAGACCACTTCAGGCCACTTGGCTGTCTGTCTGCGGTGCCACCGTGAATCTGAGCATACAGACATCCTTTCAGGTCCCTCTTTGCTTTCATTCCTTTTGCATATATACCCAAAAATGGAATCCCTGGCTCTGGGTCTAATTTTTGGGAAGTTCACTCTACTGTTTCCATAGCAGCTGCATCATTTTACATCCTATCAGCAGCGTGTAAGGTTTCCAGGTTCCTCCTATCCTTGCCAACACTTGCATTTTCTGATTTATTCTTTACATACATGTGCGTGTGTGTGTGTGTGTGTGTGTGTGTGTGTGTGTGTGTGTGTGTGTATGTTAGTCATCTTGATCTTGTTCTTATTTAAATTATAGACTCATTTCATACGTTGAGGCCTGCTTAGGTTTTTTTTTTATTTGTGATGTGTTAGAAACTTATTGTAGGTGAGTTGTTTTTCAAAGTTATTTATCCCATAAATAAATGAGTAAAGAATTGTCTATAATATCCATTTAGTTTTTCAGTATCTATGAGGTCTTTTCATTCCTTCATGTCAAATAAGTACCATTTTTATGCATTCAGTCGAACAATCCACAAATAGCAGGGCTCTGCTTCTAGAAGCTAGCAACTTAGGTTGAGGAGTTTAAATACATTAAAATTATGTACTTAAAATATTTTTATGTTTCTGTTAGATTTATTAGATATTTTTCATTTAGAAGATAAATAGCAGTGTAACACCAGATGTGGCTATTAAATATGATAAAGAAATGAAAGAACTGGATGTCTGTGTGGTTAATTAAAGAAGCAGCTGCCTAAACAAGGAAAGCGCCACTTGCTCAGGCCCTGGCCATGCGAAGCTCTGTCCGCCAGCCAGCAGCCTGCAAGGCACACACTCCTGACATTTTGCTCATAGCCAGTCCGGTTGTGTCTTTTTGTGTGTGGTCATTTGCAGTGAGGGAAACTTTGCCTTTGCCTTTTCTGAACAGCGGTTAGTGTCACATGATCATTGGAAGGGTGGGGGTCACATTTAGACTCGGCTTTCCTGGGTGGGAAGCGTACTTTGTATCATTTTGCACTTTTGAGCATGAGTTACCTGTCTTGGTGGGTGTCATCAGTTTCTGCTCTTTGGCATACAGAACATTATTTTATGAATATATTCAATGCGGAAAGGTCTAAAGGTAGTTTTGTAGGTAGAGTTGTGTTGGTGTTGTGTGGAGTGCTGACTGTAGAGAGAACAAAGACTCATGAGGGTCAAGGCGGAGCGGTGTGTGGTAGGGAAACAAGCCCAGAGCTGGGGCCAGCACTGGCTGCTGCTCTCTGGAGCCGGCCAGCCTCTTACTGCCTGACGACACCCCAACAGGAGAACCCTGGAAAATTGTCGTGAAAGTATAGTGAGATGTTTTTGACATTCTGAAGTTCATTTTCAGCAGGGTAGAGAGGGTGTTCACTGCATTGTGGTTTTATGTCTAATGGCACCTCTGATTGCCTTGGTGCCTGTTACATACATGTTACCTAGTGCTGTTTCTATGGACTGGTCACAGCAGTAGGCTGAGTGCTGTGAGGAGCAGGTGAACTGCCAACCAGCAGCACACTGTGCACTGAGGTGTCTTTTGAACACTTTTCTATAAACATGTGAGAGTGACGTGCTCACCAGAATATACGTGCGATGGCATAGCCTTTAAAACTTGAATTATCAACATCAGCTTCAACTAATGATTCATCTCTTGAGCTAGAATTGAAACACGTGTGTTGTATGGGGAAATGTATTTGCAACAGTATTATTGACCATTCTTAAAAGTATACACATATTAGCTGCCAATAGAGGAGCATGGAAGGTTTTTCTGTCATATAGTATCTCTGTGACTTTCTTTTTCAGAAGTAGATCTGCAGCAGATCTTTTCTGTTTTTGAGTTAGATATATTCCTAAATACTTAATCTGGGGGGAATTTTTAATGGGATATTTTCCTAGTTTCTTTCTTTGAGAGTACATATTTGTGATATGTCAAATCTATTTTTTAAAAAAAATATTGATTTTTGTATCCTGCAACTTTATTGAAGGTGTTTATTAGGTCTAGGAGTTGTTGTTGTTGTTGTTTTTTTTTTTTTTTCGAGACAGGGTTTCTCTGTGTAGCTTTGCGCCTTTCCTGGAACTCACTTGGTAGCCCAGGCTGGCCTCGAACTCACAGAGATCCGCCTGGCTCTGCCTCCCAAGTGCTGGGATTAAAGGCGTGTGCCACCACTGCCCGGCAGGTCTGGGAGTTTTCTAGGGGACTCAATAGGGTCTTTTAAGTAAAGAACCATGTTGTCTGCTAGTGGGGGTAGTTTGACTTCTTCCTTTCCTATATTTATCTGTTGTATGCCTTTGTCTTGTGGAATTGCTACAGCTAAGAAAGACTTCAAGCACTCTATCAAATTAGAGAGGGAGAGTGGGCATCCTTGTCCTGTCCCTGACTTTGGAGGAAATGCTCTCAGCTGGTCTCCATTTACCATAATGTTGGCTATAGATAGCCTTTATTACTTTGGTCATGTTCTTCTATTCCTGAAATCTCCAGAATTTTTCTCATGAGCACATGTTGGAATTTGTCAAATGCCTTTTCAGCATCAAATGAAAGAATTATGTGGTTTCTGTCCTTAAGTTTATTTATATGCTGTATTACATTTATTGTTTTACATATGTTGAACCAAATTTGCCTTTTTGGGATGAAGCCCACTTGGTCTTAATGTATAATCTTCTTATTGCTTCCCTAAATTTGGTTTGCAACTATTTTGTTGAGAATTTTTACATCTATGTTCGTCAAAGAAATTCATCTGTAGCTTTCTTTTTCTGTTATGTCTTTGCTTGGTTTTGGCAAACTGTTTTAATCCTTGTTGACTAATTAGTTAACTGCTTGTCACTTTGCAGGTCCTGTTTAGGATGAATATGATTTGGAGAAATTATGTTTGTCATCTGAGGCAAGGGAAAGTGCCACACAGATGCCAGAGTGGTGCCCACCCAGTGGCCCCCCTGGGGTCAAGGATTTTAACTGATCCAGCCAAAGTTTTTGAGCACAACATGTGGTGAGTTTTTCCCCCAACATTTATTTATTTATTTATTTATTTGGGAAGCATGTGCACCGTAGAGTACAGATGGAGGCCAGAGGACAACTTTCGGGGATCCTTTCTCCTCATCCACCATGTAGGTTCTGAAGATCCAACTCGGGTCAGGCCTATTGGCAAGAACCTCCACCCACTGAACCTTATCGCTGGCCCAATTGTTACTTTTAAATTTGATACTGTATATGTTTGTTAGATGTATTTTTCTCATTATGACAAAGGAAGGATTTTATTGTATGTTTTTTGTTTTCTGAGTTGGAGTCCCTCTTTGTAGCCCTGGAACTCTCTATGTATGTCATGCTGGCCTCAAACTCAGAGATCCACCTGCCTCTGCCTTCTGAGAGCTTAGACTAAAGGCAGGCATCACCACACTCGTCGAGGAAGGATTTTTTTTTTTAAGTTGATAATCTAATGTAGGTTGTAGAAGTCTAAAAGCCTGGGTCACATGTTGCTGATTCTGAACTTCTTTGCAAATGGACCATGGAAGTTCCCTAGTACATCCAGCAGCCTTGGCATCCTTGCAGACCTCTGACCCTGCCTGGCCAGTCTGCTGATGGGGCCAGGGGAAGAGGCCCTTTTCTAAGTGGGACCCTCTTCTCTGTGGCCCTGGTGGCTGAACTTACCGCCCTTCTCCCTCAGCCTCTGTAGTAGCTTATATTATAGGCCTCAGCCACTGGGTCAGAGCTCCTGGTGCCCCATAGGCCCTTCCCTCTTTACATAGTTCCCTCTTCACAGGTACTTGTCAAGTTCACATTCAGGACCCTTTGCTTCTCAGCATGACCCTGCTTCATGCTTTGAAGAAAACCATGTTGTTTGGGAAGATGGGTGTTTATGAAAAGGCTAATAATTGCAACACAATGCTTCAGGTTCTAAGCACTGAGTGTTATAGACTGCCTTGTAAGAAACAACTTGAGGGAAGGAATGGAAGAAGAGGGGGGAGGGGAAACTGCAGTCCAGATGTAAAATAAATAAATTAATCAAATTGTAAAAAAAGAAACAACTTAGTAATGAGAAACTGCTTCTGTATGGACATAGGAAAGGGACTTTTTTTTGTTGTTTTGAGATAGTTTCATATATTTCAGGCAGGCCTTGGGCTCACTCGATAGCAGAGGAGGATGTGACTTTGACCCCTTGACTTTCTTGCTCCCACCTCACAAGTGTTGGGATTACAGGGTAAGCTACCATGCCCAGCTAGGAAGATTTCTCAAATTGGGAAAACCTGAAATTAGGATTATTTATTAGTATTATTCAGTACTTGGGGCAGTGCCTAACACAAAAGTATTTGTTGAGAGCTGAGTGTTGTGGTGCAGGTCTTTAATCCCAGCACTGAGAGGGTAGGGGCAGGTGGATCTCTGAGGCAAGTGTCTATTCAGCAAGTAGCAGGCCAGCTAGAGCTATGGAATGATACTGTTTCCACACACACCCCAAAGTAGTTTTTGATATATATGGTATAGCTGGAGTAAGGGCATCCTGGCTGGGTAGAAATATAAAACACAGATGAGGATGCATAGGGCATTTTCAGGAGATGCTAAATAAGATTGTCTGCTTTTCTTTTTTCTTTTTTTTAAGGCTCTTCCAGGAGATCAATGAATCTGACCCCCAGATTCTTATCTCCAATAAGGTTGGAATGAAGTAGGACAGAGGTGGAGTAGGAGCAAGGTTGCCTGTGGTGCTGGCTTCAGAGCTGACATTCAGGCACCACGGAGTCACTGGGGAGGGCCGACACTAGATCCTATATTTGCTGATAGTATGCTGGACAGATGAGCAGCAGGAAACGGCCAGTGAGTCAGACTGTGGAGGAGGAATAAAGAGGAACTGGCAGAGTAAAGGAAATGGAAGAACTTGACTTGGGCTTTTGAACTTAGGTCACTGATAAAAATAGGTAGACTCATAGTTTATTTTGGGAAGAAGATTATGTAGATAGTTTAGATAAGCTTTGAGAAGACATTCAGCTTCAAATGTCCAAATACCATGCTGGATCACAGCCAAGAGCTTAGAAGCGACCAAAATGCCTGGATACAGATCCCACTGCTGGGAAGAAGAAGTGTGTGACAGGGCCGAAGAGTATCCGAGGAGGCTGCCAAGGGAGGCTCAGCTCACCTCACTAGTACTGCCTGCTGCACAGCTGAGTTCTCTTTAGAGAGCCCAACTGAGCGGAGCTCCTGGTCCTGACTCACATTACAGGAAATAATTTCAGGACCAGTTAGTACGAAGCAAAGTCAGTGTTTATTAAGTAAAGGGTGGGATTTATGAAGAACAAAAATAGTTCATGCTAGGGGTGGGTATAGTGGCACAGGCCTTTCATCCTAGAACTTAACAAGCAGAGGCAGCCAGGTCTCTGTGAGTTTGAGGCCAGCCTGGTCTACATAGTGAGTTCTGGGACAGCCTGAGCTACATATCGAGACTCGATCTCAAAATAAATAAAATACATGTTGAGATTTAAGTGGTTTAGAGGGAGAGAGCAAGAAGAGGTTTGAAAGAATGCCCCAGCCTCAAGAAAAGGTGGTTGTACAAACCCGAAGTGACAAGACATACATACATACAACATACATAAATACATATAACATACACACATACATATAACATACATTACATATACACATGGTTTTGATGGCCTTTAGGGTTACATTGTTTAGGGGGTTTAAAGATTAAACCATCTTGTTTTGTTACACTTACTTTTTCTGTTGCTTCTTTTTAAGTTATTTTTTGTTACACTTACTTACCTAAGGAGCTTTTCTTTAGTAAATGAGATTTTAAGGTGCTTTATGAGGTACATTGGGAAACATAGGAGGCTGGAGAGATGGGTTGGCGAAGGGGCTGTGCCAAGCCTGCGACCTGAGTTCAGTCCTGGGACCCACATGGTGGGCAGAGAGAGCCGACTGTCACAGTTGTCCTTTGACCTCCTCACATGCACTGCGCACACATGAGAGTGCAACGCACAACTTAAAAATAACTTTGCAAACATAGTAACGTTTTTAAAGGTTGAAAGCATTCTTCTTATCCATAATCCACAGCAGATAAAGGCATATGTTTTTACTATAAATACGGTTCATAATTTTGCTTAGAAGATTTTTTTTAGAAAAGAGATTATAGTCCTTTGCAGGTGGTTTGGAAGTTCTGCTCAAGAGACTTAAGCTAGATCCCAGGGTGAGAGGCTCCTGCTCCGTCCTACGAAGTCTTTCTTTGCCCTCTTTTTCTTTTTCCTCAGGACTAGCCTAAGGAGCAGGGTCTGTAGAGATGGAAAAGCAGTTTGGGGGTCTTAGGAATACAAGCGTTTGTTGATTAGTTCTGTGTTGGACAATCGCGATAGCCACTGACCACTGTGGTTTCAGAGCACTTGACATTGGCTAGTCCAAGTTTAGACGTGCTGGAAGACCTGGGAAGATGACTTAGTTCGTAAAGTCTACTACACGGGCCTGAGGACCTGAGTTCCATCCCCAGGATACACCTGGGAAAAACCAAACAAAATTGGACCTGGTGTCACATGCTTGTAATCCCAGAGCTGAAGAGGCAGAGACAGGCAGGTTCCTGGCTCACTGGCCAACCAGCATAGCTGAAGCGATGAGCCCCAGGGGTCTCCAGTCGCTGAGGGACCCTGTCTCAAAAGCAAGATGAATGACCTCTTAGGAGTGACAGCTGAGTTTGTCCTGGGCCTCCACATGTGCATGTACACACACACACACACACACACACACACACACACACACACACACACACACGTGCTGTAAGAGTTTGAAAAGTTAGCACAAAATGAAAAGTAAATTATCTCAAATTTTATATTAAATTTAAAATATATTAAAATGACTGACATGTTGGGTTTTTTGAGTTAAATTAAAAGGTTTATGAAATAAACTTTTTACCTGTTTTATTTTGGTTTGCTCTGTTTTTCTGAGACAGGGTCCCATTATGTGGCCTGTTGGCCTCAAACTCCCAATCCCTCTGCCTCAGCCTTCCCACATTAAACCACCCTGACTGTCATTCCCAGTGTCTGATATTGTAGGCTGTGAGAGAACATGGGTGCTTTCCCAGGCAATTAGAGCTCCAGAGGGACTCCTGGCCAACGAGCACATGGTTTTTCCTAAGTTTCCAACCATTCTCTAAGCATCTGCCTCTTTTCCATCTGCTGCCACTGTCCATGTAGCCTGGGATCCTTGCTTGCTGACTTTTACATTCTGTCTTGTCATGGACCCTTGAGAATCCGGCAGCCTTTGGTCCTGGAGGGCTCGTGGCTTTGAGGGACTGGAGAGTTACTGTTTCTCTCAGGTAGAGCCACGGAACCATGGCTAGAAGACTTTCCTTCAGTAAGAAAACCTTATTCAAGTGATATTTTAACATGAAATTTCAATATTTCAAAGATGAAAACACAGGCATGGTGGTGCACACCCATAATCCCAGTACATGGGAAGCCGAGGCAGGTGGGTTGCTGTGAGTTAAATGCCAGCCTGGGCTATGTAGCAAAACCTTATCTCAAAAACAGCAAGGTGAATGAGTGGATGGATAGATGTAATAGCAGGCCCACTTTGAACCAAGCAGAGACCTAGGACTTGTACACCTGTATGTATCAAAGAGGGTATCCAATCCCATCATAGAAGGATGTGAGCCACCATGTGGTTGTTGGGAATTGAACTCAGGACCTCTGGAAGAGCTGCCAATGCTCTTAATAGCTGAACCATCTCTCCAGCTCCCGTCCCCCTTTTATTTTTAAAATTCATTATTGGGCCAGTGAGATGACTCAGTGGGTGAAGACATGTTCCACCAAGCCTGGGAACCTAAGTTGATTGATTACCAAGCCCCATATGGTAGAAGGAGAGAACCGACTTCTGCAGACTGTCCTCCGACTGCTCTGTACCCTCATCACTCACACACACACACACACACACACACACACACACACACACACACACACACGACTTTCGATGTTTATTATTGTTACTGTTATTTTGGCCCTTTTGAGACAAGGTCTC